GGTGGAGGTATGTCTGACTTCTTCCTTGTGCCTGTAAGCCTTGTATTAGTAAGCACTTGGAATCTCCTTCTTCCGTGTGTAGCTAAAGGAGATCAGATGTGGCCTCCACATCATGTACATACTATTCCTGTGACCTCTCCACAAAAAATAGAAAGCAGAAAACAAAAACATGAAAGTTTAGCTAACATAAATAACTGTTGTAAACACTCCAGGGGTGAGGTCCAGGTGGTATGGCACGGGCCAGACCAAATCCAAGGGTACAAATGATAGCCAACTAAAAAGGAGGGGGTGCAGGAGGGAAGGAAAAAAAAGGTAGAAATGTGCAGTGGAGGAATAGAGGTGAGGGTATTATTTGTGTCTCCACAGGGAAAGAGGGAGTAGGCTTAAATCCGGTATTCTGAGATGTGAATGCAGCATGCTAGCATGGAAAGGCAAGCCAGTGGAGAAGTCTGGGGGCCCCGACCCCAATCCAAGCTACATGGACAATTGCCCTTCTCGCCAGAAGAATTTACTTTAGAGGATGGCACTGAAGCTGCAGCTCGGGGAGTGGGACAAGTCTGATCAGAGCACACGGGAGAAAATGAGTGGGGAGGAAGAGAGATTGGACCACATCCTGGCCCACCAAGGCTGGAGGATGATATCCCAGCTCAGAACAGCCAGTGCACAGAGTGGACCATATGACTGATCCCACTATGAGACACACGACATTCCTTGCTGACCCATGGTCCTATGGGGGACATTACTGGAGACTCAAGGTCTGAATTGGACCGGTTTGACCCACCACACTGAGGCAAAACACTAAGCGTATGTGGGAGAGCAGTGGGGGGAGCTGAGCAATGAGTTCCCAAGGGAGTGCAAAGTATAGATTTTGGGCCCAGAGTGTGGCACCCCATTAGACTCAACTGGAGGACACTCCTAGAGGTAAAAATAACAGCCCTTAATTAATTTACAGGTTTTTCTTTAAAATTTTTTTAATTACTTAATTTTTTGGTCATTGGTTTTCTTCATTGTCGTAATTGTGTTCTCTTTTGTCACTTTGTCTTGCCATGCCTTGTTTTTTGTGTGTGTGCATATTATTATCTCTGCAGGTCTATCTCGATAAGGTAGGCTGGATGAACAGTCTGCAGGAGAAAACAATGGGACTGATGGTTCCAGGAGGACATAGGAGAAGGGGACATGGGGGAAAAGAGGT